AATTACTCGCTTGAAATTTAGGAATGGCAGAAATAAAATGTTGAGCATTGGGCAAAACTTCTGTTGAGTAACTTGACTGTGGGTGTAGAGGAAGGATTGGTAAGTTGGTGCATAAACTCCAGGAAGGGAGGGAGGCCACATTTTTTCATTTTCTTTTACCTTTTGTTCCTCAGACAGTCCATTAGAGTCTCTCTAGTCTCTCCAGGACAAAATGCAGAGAAATATCAAGATACATGTGTAGCTATTTGTTGTCTACAGAAGACCCAGCTCTTCACACAAATGGAAGAGCTGCACTGATCTTAAAGGTGGAATTTCCTTTGCTACCTGTGGGAATTTTACCCCAGGAAGGAGAGCAGGTCTGGGCCCAACAAGTGAGATTGGTCTGTGTTGGTTCTGTTGACACTGAAGTTCCCAAAGAGAGATAACCATTATGATGGCCAGCTGATACTTAACAGTGTCCTGTCCGGGCTTGCCCAGATGAGTAATTCGCTTGAAATGCTTTTTACTTTGAGTCAATTGTATGGCTTTTGGCACCGAAATTTTTAGCAAATTTGCTGATTTTGAGATCTTTTGAACATGCAAGTAATGCATCAGGTTTTGGGGTGACAAGCTTAATCTTGCCTTGGTGTGATGGGTCAAATTTTGCACTGTCCTCTTAGAGGCATTCTTCTTCATCCTTTGACCCTGTGTGTAGTGAATTTGAAACCAAGCAATATAACTTTAAATGGTGCAGCTCAGGGCTGACCTTCAGGAAGCTGCTGCTGCCTTGGCACCTCTACTCTTCCTCTGACAATGATGCAGTCATTATTGTGGAACTTCCTCTCTTTCCTTTCCTCCATCTTATAGATTTGATTCTTGGCCTCAGATCCATCCGCACATTTTGCATGGGAGTGTTTGTGTTTGTTCCCATTGGACTACTCATGTATACTTAGGGAAATGCATGTAATAAGGGTTCTGAGTCCCCAAAATCCTCTTCTAAGGATCGCTACATAACCTTACCAATCAGAACAACTTGAGAGCTGCCAAACAGGTTGGCTGATGTACCCCTATTCAGATTTTCAAAGCATTGGATTTAGAGAGGTTTCTTCCTGGAAAATTAAAAAGATAAAAAGAATAAACAGGCTAAAGGGAATAATGTGGGCAGACTTCACTACACAACTGGGGTATTATGCATTTTGGTTGATCCTTTGATCCACCTTCCAATTGCCACGTTGAATACAATTTATGCTGAACACTAATATGAGAGATCTCTTATTTATTCCTTTGTTATTTCAAAGTTTGGAATGACTGTTCAATTAGTACCTTGGTTTTCAGGACGCTATGCATAAAATAACTATTGTCAGACTTAATATATTAAGCACAAGAAATGGATGTGTTCATTAAATATGAAGTTTACATGTAAAAGGGGGCACAATTCTGGCCTTCTCTATTTTTCAAAACCCAACCCCCAAATTTCATACACATTTATGTAAAACAATGAATGGATGAATTAACATGAATGAAATACATATTTATAAACTAATTAACATGATTTTATTGCAATCCAATTTTTTAAATGCTGTCAACTACATCCCAGTTTCTCCATTTAAAAAATCATATAGCATCTTTAAAAATATATATAGCATCTTGTAGTACAACCCTCTTTGCAATGTAACAAGCAAGAAATAATCTGCTTTTCTACTCTCTTGTTCAGAATGTGATTCTAGGTCCTGAACTTTGAATTTATTTGCTCATGAATTTTACTCATGCAAAAGTCTCGCTTGAAACTAGTAAATGTTTAGGTGACTAAGGATTGTCCACGTGTGATAAGATTTACAGGAGTGAAATTTTACTAGGCAAAAAACAAAACAAAACAAAATAAAAACAACTGTTTAAAAAAAATGTTTGAGACCAATTTGCTCTGTAGAGAATGACTGGTTAAAATCACTTCTCCATAAATGAAGAGATGCCTCCCTTGTCCCTAGTTTTTTAAGAAAATGTTTGGGGAGAGGTTGAAGAGGGGAATAACCGCTAAACAAAATTCAGTATTAATATCTATTGGGAAATTATTGCATACATACATACAGCTTAATTTTTGTTGTTTTAATCTTTAGATGGGAGTACTCAGAATGGAAAAAAAAATAGAAATATTTATTTTTTACTTTCTTTGAATTGAATTTGATAAAACTGAGATGATGAACAAAAAGCATTTTTCTCTGTTCGGTGTTGAAATACACAAGCACAGTCTTTTCATGCATTCAGATCTTGAGCCTGAATTAACTGAAGCCTACATCAAGATTCACATTTTCTTGACTGGATTTTTTCTCAGATTTATCAGTAGAGGACATTTTTAGAAGTCTAACAAATTATGCAAATGGAGCCGAAGCTGTGCTGCTGTAGTGATCCTTACTGTGTCCCCAGAATCTCCCCAGACAAAGAGGTTTAAGATGCAGTCACAGAAACATAAAGCTGAAAGTCTTCACAAGAGACTATGCTTCTGTAAATATCTGTTAAAAGCCTTCTGCTTTTCGAGCAGATCACACACTGCTTTGGAAATCTTGACTGATTTCATACAGATTTTTTTGCTGCTAATGAAGTCAGTCTTTACTTTCCCGGCACGGAGAGCAATTGATCGCTTCATTAAGCACTTCTTTACATAATCTCCCATCTCTGTACCTTTATATCCAAGTTAAACATATCCACTCATCTCACTTTTTATTCTACAGGACTTGTTTTCTGAGTCTGTTACCATTCGTATTTTTGGAGTGCAGTGCAATGAATCTCTTTTTCAAAGTCAGATCCAAGAAAGGATACAGGACTAAATCTGTAGTGAATATTAATTAGCTTCCAAATCTGCTATATACCACTCCTCTGAACAACATCCCAGGATAGGTTCCTATTTCTTGTTCTTTCTAAGGATTCTGTGCTGTGCTCCATTTAATTTTATATGTGCCATTTTTTTCTGAGCAAATTCTTTTTATATAAATTTGTCTATTTCAACCAAATTTGATTGAAGAATAAATGAGGATCCATAGTTCTTATGAATTTTGTGAAAATCTGTGTCTGAACAGGTAACAGAGAGCTCAGCTACCTTCCCAGATACAGACACCTGACAGGCTGGGGGATTGGCATGTATGCCCTCTCCACTCTGTCACTGAAATCCACGTCCAACTTCCTCTTCCTCTGGCACGTGAGGCAAAAAAGGGGATTTGAGAGAGGAATTTGACAAGCATGAGAGCATATTGCAAATATTTTTGATGGCTGATGTTTAGGAAGAAATAGCTGCAGGTGTTGATCTGGAAGAGGCTAAATATAAGGTAATATTTCATTAGTTCCACCACTGATAGCAATCTGGAGCGATTTTTTTGTTTGTTTTATTTTGAATTTGAGTTTGGTCATTTGTTTGCTCGCTGTCCAAAACTTATTCCTTCTGGCTAATTTTCAGATTGCCATACACTGTAATCCTTATATGATTTCCTTCAATTATGCTCCTGGATTCCTGGTGTTTTATGCCTTCTTCGCAGGTGCAGTTTGCACTTTGATGTATATACTCTCAAAAAAAAAAAAAAAATTAGGGGGATTACATAGGTAAGTGAAATAAGCATTTAGATGAACTTGATGGGAAGTTTCAGTTGCTGTACATAATAGGACAGAAAAGAAAAATATTGCAAAAATCCTCTTTGTATACCCTCACTTTTTCCCAGAGGAAATCTGGGCATTGTTTCAGCAGCCCAAGTTTACTTTGCCCATGATTTTATAAAGTTTGTACTGAAATATTTAATGCCCGGCATTCCTTGCTTACCCCAAAAGTTATGGTTACTGCGTGAAAACCGATTTGCAATATGAATATGTTAGATCTGTCTGCTGAAACTTCTCTTGCCCTGAGGAGTGGAAGCAGCTGGGCAGAGAGAGACACTGACCATATTCTCACTTCTTTGCAATGATCCCCTTTTTTTGCACTTGGTGCTGGTGAAGAGTTTCACTTTGTTGTCTGCAAAGGACAGGTGGTTTGGATAGAGAATTGCAGAGCTCAATATTTCCAAAAGCGATGGAATAATTTAAATGTTAACAGAAAATAGACTATAAATTCAACACTGGCAATAATATTGCTGTTTAGTTGATTAGCCTTAACATAAATTAACTGCTGGTTCATGTTACTTATATTCTGCCTCATTTCCCAGTCTTACAATCTGATGCTGTACTCATAATTCAGACAAACTAGAATACAGTAAATGACAAAAATCTACTAATTCCAGCTGCAAATATTAACATGTGGCAAAGCTGTGTACAGCTGCAATATTTGCATTTACGCTGCTTATGTGATGTGCCAGAGTAGACAAAAGGTGCACAGGCATTCTATTCATTACTTAATTTTGGAATGATAACAGAACATTTATTTGAATTTTGGTAATTTTTATTGTAGAAAATGAAAACATTTCCTTAAATATTGGCAGGCAAGACATCAGTTGAAGAGGAAAAGAGTAATTTTTTATTTGTATGACTTGAAGAAGTCCACTTTATTATATTAGGTGCTCAGTGTGGTGCAAAAATAGCTGCATTTTTCATGTTCTTTTTAATGTCAAAGACAAATTTGAAGCATGTTACATTGTTTAAGGTGAAGCTCCTGCTGTTTTTAAAAGAGCAGGCATTAGTCTAAAAACATAATTTTGAAACCAGGCATCATTGCGTGACCTGTCTACCTTAAGAACAAAACTGGGAGGATGTGAATGGCCAACAATATCCATCGCTGAAAACTAGGTCTTCTACATGTGCAGTGTCACAATAATTTATGGGACCTTCTCTTTATTTGTTAATTTTGATGGATAGAAGAACAGCAAAAATATGTGATCATCTAAGACTTATGTAAGTAATCAAAAATCAAAACAGATATTAATGTTTGGTAAGCAGAGTGGGTATGCTCACCCTTGCACCCAGGTCAAATTTCCCCTTAAAGAGAGAGTTACATGGATGAGAATGTTACCTCTCCTTTATCTAAGCACATGTACATGTGCATGCACACATATGTATATATGTGTATTTCTTTCTAGATACCAATTTAAATGAAAGAATTAAAACCAGTTTGATGGTAAGCGGCTTCTTTATAAGCTATTATATCAGCATTTTCGTGAATGAGGAAAGGAGAGGAAGCCAATATGTTTCTGTGCTGATCTATAGGTACCAAATACAGAAATATGCACATGAAAGCATATGTATTTACATACAAGTGTACGTAAAATAGGAAAAAGTAAAGGCTTGACTGCAAAGCTAAAACTCTGAAAGCAGATGTGTCTTTTTCTTGAAGTGAGACTTTGTGGACTGCAAAACTACTTTTTGTCATTTTTGAGCCGTCCCATGTCATAATGTTGGAAAGATTAGATCCACTTGCTGTCTTTCCCCTTGGTCCTCGAGACTTACACAGTGCTGAGAGGCACTTGGCAAAGAAAAAGGCAGCATATAAATTTTCAAAGGCATGGCTAGAGTCTGGAGTGGCAAAGTGAACTGTGGCTTGAACAGAGTGATCTTCAGGGGCAGACGGTTCTGTGTGGGACCCTCCTCAGCAGCGTCTGGTACAGATGTCAGGCACAGCTGTTTGTGTGAAGTTACTGCTCTGCATGTCTCAGAGCCACCAGGGGCTGTTAGGTTTGGACAAGTGGTATCCGAGGTAAAACTGCTCTTGCAGATCTTTGGAAGCCTAGTTCAGCTCCCAGACACTTTCCTGATTCTGGCCCACGTTTTGTGTCCCAAAGAGCTGTAGGATGGAGTCTATGTTTTTTACCCAATAATAGGTTGTGGAGTTTTCTCTGAAGCATCACAGCTTTCCTCTTCTGTTTCCTCCATTTATGCCAATGGTCTTCCAAATGTAATGTATTAGAAGCAGATTATTTTTCTTATCCCAAGTTCAGGACACTGGGTTCTGGAAGAAATTGGTTTAATAGTATTTTGTTTGGTTTCTAATTACTTAGTTAATTATTGTTTGATTCCTTTTTCTGTATAGGCCATTCAGAATCACACACAGCAATACACACTTGTGAATGCTCTTATGGGGGAGGTCAAAGGCTTATCAAAAAATAAGTGTATGTTCTTCTTTTCTGACAGACTTGGCATATTTTTTCATTTGCACTTCAAGTCTTCCTTATTTCTCCATTTTCCAATATCAAAATATCACAAATGGAATTATTTTACATGCTCTGTTCTAGTGAAAGAGAGTGTTTCTGTGTAGGTCTGATGAAAAATCCCTGGTTATTTTTCAGTTTGATAGATCTCCATAATTTATTGTAAGGCTATGCAATTCTGCAGCTAAACTTCATATTCCTGCTTTTTATAACATAATAGGACATATTCCTTCAGCTAACAAGAAGGAACACAGTAAATAAGGTAGTAATTTTATTTTAAAAAAATCTAAAGAGGTACAATTGCACTGCATCTGTCTACCATCCCTTTGCACTAAAAACAGGTTGCTTGGATGAGTAAGAATGACTCACGAGAGCATACTGATGCTTAAAAAACCTGACATTACATTTAACCTAATTTATAACAGACATTAACAGACATTTCAGAAATAATTCAAGTTGCTATCGGATCCTTTATAAAAGCAGTCATGGTATGTAATGTCTGGGACTGTATGAGAGTGGGTTACACAACTTGCTTAAGTCTTTTTCTTCGCTCCTGTTTATAAATTATTGGTGGGGTGAGATACAAAAGTCTCCACAAAATTGCTGGCCTTTCTTGGGGAGCTTGTTCAAATTTTCTCAGTGCTCTGTGTGTGTGAATATACTGTGACCTATCCACATAATCATGTTTTCATTGCCCACTCTGGCATCACCAGCTGCTTTCACTTTTTCAGTGAAATTCTGTGGAAGATTGAAAGAGGTGTTCTTTAATATAAATAATTTTTATCTTGTGTGGTTGTTACCTCACACAGCTTCCAAAAATTTCTTTACAAATGGATAAGTTTCTCTTTCCCAATTATTACATTTTTTATTAGGCATTGAAATAATGTTTATATAAGGAACGTGGGTATATTGACTATTGTATTCATGATCTATTTTGGGACAGAACAAAAGCAACATGAAGCAAATTTTAAAAAATGAGATGGGAAAAATTGTGAACTACATATTTGTATGTCTGCTTGGAGAAAAAAATAAAAGGTGTTTTTTATTTAGTCATTCTTTAAACCATAAATCAGGAGGAACATTACAGGAAAGCAGAGTTTTGACATGCTAAGTCTGAGCACCAGAAATTGCACTTTTGTTTTAGGCAATGTAAAGAAAAGAACTCTAATTTCTGAGGAAAAACAGAGATTGTATTTTATCTCTGAGTTTCCAAATAACATCCTGCCAGCCAAATCAACTAAGAGATTTTGCAAAACAATGAATACCGTGACATGAAAGCAGGTTGTGTAAGTAGGAGTGCATAACTTTTAAACAATGTTTGTTAGTAAGCAGTAAGAGAAGCACAGGCAAATATCAATTCTGTTTGAATTCAGAGAGGTTTATTTGTGATGTCAGTCAATGCATAATAAGCTCAGGCCCTTTGTAGCCAGATGCTTTGATGCTGCACAGATCTGACTTTGAGGCTATTTCTACAAACTATAATTAAAAATCAGAAAAGCAAACTTCCTCACAATTAGGTAAATCGTACTGTATATACTTGTTCTAAAACAGCAACAAGTGCATTAGAATTCCATAACTATCATGCTATTATGAAAATAAATATATTTGTTAAATATTTACAGATTTTTGCACTGATTTATGGAAAGAGCAATTTATAGTGTTCATTTGCCCAGGCATGCATCCAGAAAGGTGATTTTCAACAAGCCAAAGAATTCTGTCCTCTCTCTCATGAGTGAATATTCTTTGCCTTCACTAGGAAAAGAAAAAAAAATCATGTACTCTGAAATTTCTTACATAAGACTTTTTCAGGACCAATGACTGTCTTTGCAGATTTTCTGCAAACCTCAAAACCTGAAGAAAACAAATCCTTTGCAGAGTTATTAATGTTAAGCATGACTCAAAAGAAAATAAAGATGTGGAGGACTGATTTAATTAAAAAAAGCAAACATAATCAGCTAAAAAGAGCTTTTTGGTATTATCAAACATGGTTCTACCAAACTATGCATTCTGGACAATTAAAAAATAGATAGCTCTGCTGTAGGGTGGTGGTGATTGAGAACAAGGGTATTTTTGTTTGTATATTACCCATTTTATTAAATTGACCAAAGACATAAATATATTTACATTATCTGTATTTTATATTTAATTTTTATACTTAATAAATCACAATAGCATTGGGGTTAAGATACCAAACACATGTGAGCTGATTTAGGAATTCTTGATTTTGGTTCTAGGGATATAGTTTGTACATCATACTTCAGTCCACTAAAACATTTAAGCACACCTTTGCCCTAAGCAGAGCTGCCTGCAGCACTTGCCCATTTGTTTGGGTCTGTAGCTTTTACTGCTCTTTCCTTAAAACAATTTGCAGCTGCTCATCACAAAGCATTGTGCTCTAACATGAACAAGAGGCTCTTCCAGGCTTTCTTAAACTCCTCTTGGGGTGCACGCTGCCAACAAAAATAAAATTGTTACTGAACATGACTGGAGAAAAGCTTAATGATCACCACAGGTTTTAAAATACTCAGTAGTCACTTGGTTCTCATGCAACAACACAGCTACTGGTAAAAATCCTATGAAAAGGTAGTCAATAGAAATCCAGAAAATGAAATCTAAAGACACCAATTTATTGTATAGTTCCCAAGAACTTGCAACAAGTTTTTTAAAACTGCTAGTTAAAAACATAAAATTATGGATATTTGTCTTTTCTCCCTTTTTCTCTCTCCCTGGTCACAGCCAACACAAGATATCCTGTGAGCTTGTCCCTATGGCCTCAGCTGAAGGCGGGGTGAAGTGGTGGAGGGTCTCCAGCAGGCCTGGCAGCCCAATTCGGAGGCTGCTGTTTGCAAGAGAAGGGAATGTGCCAGCTTTCACAGATCTGTACTTGCAGGAGGAGACCCAGACCTGTGAGGCAGCACCCTGCCATCTGGCTCCTGGCTGGCACCCAGACACTGTGAGTAATCCTCCCGTGGGGGAGGCGTTCCAGCTGAAGGGAGCCATCTCTCATTCCTCAAGCCCCCAGAAAAAACCCCAAACGAGCCTTTGTTTCCATAGGACAAATTAGGGGCCCACCAGGCACATGGGGCTCCCAAGATCTGCTCTTCAGAGATTTTGAGGAGCACTGGTGTGCTCACATATGCTTAGGTAGAATGGGAGAACTTCCTGTTATGTGAAGGAGCCAGGATTGCAGATCTCCTGGCCACTCTTGGTTTTTTGGACCCTCAGCTGATTTCCAGCCCCAGCTGGATGTAAAAGGCAGGTACCCACTCCTCCTTGGCACTAGGCTGACAGCACAGAAGTGTAGACAGCTATGCTAAGTCCAAGAAGCTGGGAAACCCATGTTTCTGGTGCTCACCAGCAATGTCACCGTGGTGTCCCATGGGCAAGGATCAGGGCAGGCTCAGCAGTGGTCATGGTGTCCCCACATCACACACAGCCAAGCCCAACACCCACAAGGCACATGGGGCAAACCTCAGGGCTCTGGGCTCCAAAGGTGAGCAAGCAGTTCGGCTGTGCCAGCACTCATCCTTACGCCTGCAAGCAAAACTCTTTTATTCTTTATTCCACTGCCAGTCTTTGGAATCACTGTGTCCTTTCCCTGCTTCCCTCTCACTTGTACTCACTTCTAGCTTGCTTATGTATTTTAAAAGGTGAAAAAACCACCAAGTTTTCTGCCTACTGATGTTTTGGGGCACTCCTGCCTTTGCCATCTTCATTGGGCAAGGCACACAATGCAGCAGGAATAAAAATGTGATTTTTTTTCTTGACCTTTATACTAATAATTTCATATTAAACAGAGAAATAATTTCAAAATACCAGGAAAGCAATTAAAAGAAGAAAAACAAACTTGACATGTAATAAATAATTTAACACCTCACCCTAACACAACCTGCAGAGTCTTTCAGTCACGTTATGGATGTACAGTCATCAGTTTTTGTGGTGCTTTGCATAAATTTCATTAGTATGAACACAGTAATATTAAAACACACACATAGGCACAATTTTCTGGCTTTTCAGTTCATTATGAAATACTTTACCTCTGGGCAGATGACTAATATGCCCAGAGGTAAAGTATGCTATTAAATTTCTCTATCCTCGAGTTGTGTCCTAGCCAAAAAAAGGGTGCAGTCACTCATAATCTTTATTAAATGAGCTGAATACACCCACTCAGGGAAAATGCTGTTGTATGACTTCAATGTGTCCTGCAGCAGCAGTAACATGCTTTTAGGTCATTCACCTCCATATTGTGGAGTTACAATAATAAATCCATGGTGAAAACTGGGGGAAATTCCCTGCCTGTTCTGAATAGTTTGGGTGGCATTACCCAGAAGGTTTAAATTCCTGCTTAGCAGAAGGAAAACTTCCCCCCACGCTGTGTTGTGAAACTATGGAGTTTATGTATCTGGGGATATAGTGAACTCTAGCAAACCATTTGAGTAGGGCAATATAAATCTGAAGAAAGTTTTAGTTTCACCTGTTTTGTGAAACACGTTAATATAAAATTGCAATCTTCTTATGGATTAATCTTTAGCAGAATTGACATTAAACTTTAATTGTTTCTTTATTTTATTACTGATTCTGTCTAGACCTAGAGATGAATTCCTATGGTTTTTGCTTTTAAACTGAGGAAGGAAAACACACAACCACTATTAATCATAAATAAGAAATTCTATTTATATAACATAAAAATACATCACAAAATCTTTTGTGAATATAATTTCGGCCAGAACTAGCATATTTTCAAGGTGGAATAGAAAACACTTTACCAGCCATTAATACGTCCCTATAGATTCTAGCTGGATTAAGCTAGTAACTTCAACTGGAAAGGAGTTTTCTCTGGTAACTTGCAATGAAGAAATTTCCTTGTCACTGTAACTTCTTTTTCTACCCTTAGGACTAGTCCTATTGAATGTTGCATGAATGATTCAAAGGCATTTAGAAAAACACACAAATCTATTTGCTCATACAGGAAATTTGGGATATATTCTGGTAGTAGCTGACAGTGACCATACTGGAAATTAACTCACCTTATAAACAAACCCGATTCAGTGTCTTGTTATAAATGAAGAAGAATCATCTGGTTTGCTTGTATTTAGGAATATATTTTTGCTTGGGTAAGAAAATTATTTTTAAGTTAAAAAAGAGGTATTCAGAAAGCTATTTCTAATATTTGTCATTTTTTTTTCTTTCCAAGCTTGCACTTTTTGAAATTAACTTGGAATATTTTAGACATTTTATTTCGTAATTAAGAGTTTCATTGTTCTCTCATTGGTTCATATTCTAGAGATAATGTTGTAAATTCTAGGAATTCTAGTAAATCCTAGTTATTCTAGTAACTCGAGTAATATGATATGTAAACTCTAGTGTTTCTAAAAAATATTTATTGCAGCAAAAGAACAACATGAAAACTAAATTTTAACTCTTTTCAAGAAAGAAAAAGCAAAATTCTTTTAATAACTTCATCAGTAAGAATGCCTTCCTTTGCCCCTACTTGTTGGTATTGGATTACAGTAGAAGTACCTGAATTGATGAAATAAAGAAACATGAACGTGAACAGCATCAACAAAGAAACAACTATCAGCATGGTAATGAATCAAGAGCCTTGTTAAAAATTGCTCTTCAAGGTGCACATTTATGGTGAATGCCTTGGCTTTATGACTTTTATCCTAAGCCTTACAGTAATGTGTAATAAATCCTTAATTTTTTATGCAGCAACATTTCTCGTCTCATTTCTTGGACATAAATTGCCTAAGGTTGATCTTTAAAGAACTTTTAAAGTGTCTAAATGCTTAATGGGGAAGATAAAGAAATATGACTGTGACTGGAGTTCTACTGAGATAAAGATTAAATTGCCAAAACTACCCCACTAATGAAAGGCAAAACCACCATCTTTATCTTATTATACTTATCACAACAGTAAAAGTTTATACCATGTAACTATTTTAGTTTATTCTTCTGTTTTTCTATTACTTGCAACCTCATTCAAAACAGACGCGATCAAAAACAAAACAAAACAAAAATGCACAAAAACAAAAAAAGTCACCCCAAACACTATGTGAATTAAAGCAAAGTAAATATTTCAAGCCCTTCTTCGTGAAAATCACTTGGTCTTAAGGGTTGTTAGTAAACCTAAGTGATTCAAAATTAGGGATGTATGAATAACTGTTATTTCATAATGCCAGGCTAAAGACGAAGACAAAACAGCAATTGTACAATTGTACAGTTCTTACTAAGGTAGCAAACCAGCAACTCATAAGCACATTAGAAAAAATTTGAATAATTTAGATGTCAACCTGACACATACTGGACCAGCTTCCTTACCTCTTAAAATTCATAAGTCTATACAGGTCTTATAGTATGATTCAGATCTCATAATTTAATGAAACAAACTTAATCAGAAGCATTCATTAAATAACAATTCTGATAAAGAGATAATTAAGAATGACGAATTGAAGACCTACTTTCTTTTCCTCTATCATTCTGAGAAAAGTTCTACAAAGGTGTAATTTGCTAATTAAATCGTGCGATCTAAATCAATGTTTCAGGCATGTAATTGCATGGAGTTTTGCTCTTTTTGAAGAAATCATGGAAATTTTTTTAACTATCTTCTCATTTAAGGTATTGATAACATCTTTTTCTGTAATGTTTTAAAAAGGACTGGACTAAAAGCAGGAAAGACTTAGAATTTGGAGTATATAGAGATTGGGTGTGCTTAAAGTTGTGTATTTGAGAGATTCTTTCAGGAGTAAGCTGGTCTTTAGTTTAAGAGCAGAAATGCACTTAACTGCACTCTCATTTTTGTCCCTGTTTGTGGAAGGACAAAAACACATATTCTATGTGAAGACTGTATTTCTGCAATTTTGCGCAACTACTTAAATTCTGTTTTCCTCCCCTTTCCTCCTTGCTTTTATGCGCAGAATAACATCTTAAAAATTAGTGATGACTCAGTTTAGATGTTTTCACTGCTTCCTCCTGATGCAGATAATTTCTGCAACCATATAAAGAATTAAATATTATTTTGTATTGCATACTGCTATGAATGGAAGTGATTATTGTCTATCTTTGAGAAGTTCCATCATCAAAATGTTAGATGATAACTACATTTGTTAAAAAATACAGAATGTTTAACATCTTTTCGTAGATGGATAGAATTTATCCTTCAAAACTGCAAATAAGGCTGAATGCAGTGCATAATTCTTTATGATAAGGGAAATCACAAACTAGAAATCATCCATTCTGGTAAAAAAATCCCACAATCCTATTTTTATAATTTTTTAAGGGGTGTACCTAAAATTTCTGGTTTATTCCAGAAGGTTTTCTAGTTTACTCAATAATAGACCTAGATTTCTTGCTTAAGGAGTATACATTTTCTGTCGTCCATTCACTGCTCTTTTCTTTGTCTGGTTAGCTTTGGGTTTTTTTCAAGTTTCTAGCACTATTGTCATTACAGAAATCTGACAGGTCTGATGTGAAATGTCTTTATGACACCACTGGGATACTAAGAATAAGAGGGGGGAAAAATCAATTGGAGTCTCATCTAACTAAAGTTGAATCTTTATTACAGAATTTTTTTACAAATTACCCAACTGCAAGCCATTTTTCCAGCTGCTGGTTCCCACCATTTGCAGTTGGCAAATGGAAAAGCTAAGAACAAGTGGCACAGAGACTGCAGTTTTTGTACTTTCCTAGAAACGTTCTCTTTGTTTTAGTACCCTGTATTAATACTTACTTTTTCTGATTTGTGATTGACTACTTGTATGCTCTATTATTTTCAGAAATTGCTCAGGTGGCACATCCTTAGAAATGTGACTAGTAATCCAATTGTAGTTATTTAGCTTCCAGTTGGTAACATTGAGTTAACCATTTCCTAGCAGTGGGACTTCAGTTCCATATGGGGAGAGTTTTGTGGATTTTCCAGTTTTCAGAAGGTTTCCAGGGACAATACTGCCATGGGCTGCAGATATTCAGATATTCATGACTGATATTCAGCCTTGCAGCAGTTTGGGTGGCATTTTCACATGCTGCCCCATAACTCAGAGACATTTAGCACCTACCCATCACAACTTTGCTCGGCCTGTGGTATTAATCCTTGTCTGGAGAATAGCTAAAATCACCATTTTCATACCCATGTTTTTGCATTCTGTGACTACTCTTCTCTGACTGCTCTAACATGTCTTGGTGGCATCATTAACCCTGAAAGTCAGGAGTAATGGATAACGATGCCTGAATATGCCTCTCCTCCATGCCTGTTCTCCTGTCAGCCTACACAGGACTTTGTCAGGCTGATTTAAGCATACCCTGGGAAAGTGTATTAGACTAGAAATCCATGAAATTGGAATATCTTCCAAATTGACATTCTGACTGTTTTACAGCTTTGCATTCTCTGTATGTTTCTTAGCTAGATGTAAAGACACAGACAAAAACTCCCTGACTTCA